CCTAATTTTGGTCAAGGAGGAATCAGTATTGATAAAATAGCTACCCCATACTCCCGAATAGATGATTATAAGGACTTCCCCTAATTATGATGAAAAGGGTGACATAATAAAGAGTCCCTTTTATGTTTTCCACATTTCTCAACCTATCTCTACTCCATTTATATATTAGGGTAGTACTCTAAAAGAATATAATCAATGTACCATCACTCTTATAGGTATATGAAACAATGAGGACCTTGGCTAAGGTTTTTATATGGTTGACTTGAATAATACCTAAATATACCTCAAATAAGTGATAATATCATTTTCTAAATAGGGTAATTGACTCTTTTGTATTTTAATTCAGTAGGGCATATCGTTACCATCTTAATCTTGGTGCTAGACAAAGGTACTTTGTTAGTAAGGTACTATCATCCCAATAATTGATGAAAATACTTATTGCTATTTCCAAATAGCATATTAGTGCTAAAATATAATTTAATCCCCAAATATTCTCTAGGGGTGAATTTTGAGGTAGTGATAATATATCCTATTAGGACATATTTAGTTCACATATACTTCTATTTTAAGCTCGACCAAATCGTAGATTAATGAAAAGCATTTGATGCTTTATGGCATCCTAATATGCACAAATTATATGGTCCTATTGGAATTTTAGGAGATTCCCAATCCTCCGTCGACATCTCGAGTATTGCTAGGTGAAATATAATCACCATGGTGAGCTATAGGGACCATGTATAGAATATGGCTACAAGCCTTATATAGTTGGCCATTATTATGAATGGATAAGAGTACACGTCCCTATACCTATTATTAACCTTTAAAAGTGGGAACAATCTACTTATTTCATGTTAGTATTAACCCCCTATTTACTTAATCACCCTAATAATCTGTGAATCCTAGGGCCAACTATATAGGTTATGATAGTTTTTACTCTATTTTGTTTAAGGTGGACAATATAACTCCTATTTATTTATTAGAAATTATATATTATTGGTATATAATGAGTAGTCCATCACGAATTGTAAATAGAACCTTAAATTTAAAAAGAATATATGATGAACGTCAAGAATATCTCCATATAATGGTTTAACCAATTATAGTTGTCATTGTATTATAACTATTAGCCACTTCATTACTATTATACTTATATTCAATTAAGGATATCTTTTACTTGATATGTGCATCAATATAATTAACTCCTAAGGAGATATCCTATTTATAAAATTAGGAAGGATTTATGGTAGATATAAGTAAGGGTTATACTATTATATGGTGGCTAAAATATTTATTAGGGGGCCATTACGTCTTATCGAGTATAATAGCATTGAATTTAATTGATAAATCTGAAGACCATGATGCCAAATTGTTGGAGTATTAATTAACGTGACAAAATACAAAAGGTTAGATAAGAGTATAGATGTTCTTCAATTAATTTTAGTATCATTCATGCTTTGATATATTAACCCATAAATAGTATGGACGATTATCTATATGAAGATAATACTTTAATCTAGGGTAGAATAGTAAGTCAAACATTAGTTCACCTCTACGAGATTTTGATAACTCAATCATCATAGCATGGTATACCAAATGCTACTAACATTTAGCGAATATTTAATTATCTTATACCTAATACGAATATTGTGTCTGACTTACTATTATACCCTAGATTAAATAATGTTTCACCATTATCATGGTTACTAGAGTAGGCACAAGGGTATATAAGAGTAATGGTTAGAAGAAAGGTATCCTAGGATAACTCATGCTAGAGGTCACAAGAAAGGGTATATAATTATAGAACATCTAGGTAGTAAGAATAGTCCTTTATAATATTCTCTAGAGTCCTTAATAGATGATATAGCCCAACCTTAGAGAATAGTGGGCACAATACTATCTATTTACTCAACTATGTTCTATACAATATTACCCCACATATAAGTCACATAATATAATCAATTCTTGGTTTATAATTGGGAATTAACTATGACCCCTTACCCCATGTTATTTAATACATTTTTTGACACACCCTACACTAACTTTATATGACTGATCATGAGAATAGTATAATTAGTATAATATTTTGAATAGTATACAATACAATCCTTCATTACCAAGAGCCTTACTTTATACTCATTATCTAGAAACATATTAAGGGGAGTAATAGTGACCTTATATTCTCCATAAGGACAATGATAATATTAATACTCTCATGAGTATTAACTTGGATTGAACCGCTTGATAGTCTCTCCAGTTAATGATTACGAAAGGTAAATTGTAAACTTCCATAATATTATATAGAGATACAACAGTATCCCAATTGACCATTCATAGGATCACCATAGTTTATAAGTAGGCTCTCGTAACTAAAATATTTTAATCAGACATATGGATAATTATAAAAGGTTATCCGATTAATTTATAGAGAAGCTATTATTACAATTCGAATAATATCAAACTCACAAATATTATGCCTAATCTATTATATTAGGATTCTATTTAGCCCTGACTAAAATGTTTTTAGTCATGACCGTGACTAATGACATGTTCCCCCTGTAATTAATAGGGTATCCATAGGTATAAATTGGTAATTTATAATTATGAGTATTAGTTATACCCATAATTACATTGATATTCCAAATACTATCGGCTATACATAGTTTATTATCCATTGTCACGCAATTTGAGTTTGAGTCTATATAGTCCATTATCAAAAGATAATTCGGTGATAGGTTAGTATTAGAGTGTAATCCAGTAATACGAGAACAATATTCGAGTCATCTATAGTTAGAATAATAGGTAGTCCTAGGTACTTCACTATACTTATACTATGTTGCAGTTCCTTATTAGGTATGAATATAAAACATTATGCTCTGTCTTTATAATGGGTAAAGACGTTTTAGATACACCATACTCATTATAATGTCAAAGGATATGTAACGTAATACTTGATATGAGGAAGAGAGGAAAATATTAATTTATAATATTTAGTCCATATATGAATTCCCCCAACCTAAAGTGATTACCGTTCATTAACCTTTGATTTATTCTTATTTATGGTTGTAAATATCCTATGATACTATAAGTATCAAATATTGGCATATATATGATTATCCTTGGTGAGTACCTTTGTATATTGAAGGCATAACTACCATATATTCCATCGAATACCATAATTTGAGGTACTATCCCGTCATGTTATATGATTAATCTGAGAACACTTTGATTAATGTAGATATGTGAGTTTGTAATCTATATTGATCCTATACCTAATATATGATATTTATAATAGACTAGAATTAGTAAAATATCCTCACTACATATCAATGAGATACCATTTAATAGGTCCTTGAGATTGGTGATAAAATTATCCTATATTACATCGAATATCAACTATAAATTATAATACTCTACTATTAATAGACTAGTCGAGAAAATAGGTACCATAGGGAGTACTATGGTATAACCACTATTTTAGAGAATCCCCAATTGATGAGTGTCAATTATGGTCATGAGAGTATCCATGATATAATACTTAAGTCTAAAATTGTTAAATACTTGTCCATACATGGGACCATACATCCCTTTATTGGACCTACCAATATCCATAATGGAATTTCGGATTAAATGTTCTTGTGAATTGACATAAGCCTATTATTCTCATCATTTCCTTATATTAGAGAATCTATTTGGTATTAAATTATAATACTCAAATAGAGTATATCATAACCATAGGTAAATATTAATTTGAGGATTAATACTATTATATTCCCTCTCTTGGTTTATAACCTATATTGTGGAACAACCTCTCTATATGATGTGTCACTATCTTGGGGAATATAGAGGATTTATCAATTGTTTACATACATAATTTGTATTGATATATAAGGTATACTTATATTAGAGTATTAATGTTTGACTTACTAGGGGAGAATCCCAATTGCTAATCATACAAGCTCATGTTTTATCTAGTATAATAATCTTGATAATTATGCCCTAATTATGTATTATCCTATCTTAACTATTTTGATAATCTTCTAGTAGGTTTGTATTTCATGAAAGGTTAAATATCTTGATAATCTTCTATACTAGCAACATTTTAAGTGGAGAAGTTAAGATAGGATAATACATAGTTAGGGCATAATTATCAACGATTATTATACCATGTTTCATATTTAGTTCCCCTATATGTGTCTAATCTAATTAGTTAATGTAATCGGACCATTACTTATAAAAAGAGTATTTTGATAATTATCAACTTTCCTATGTTAAATATATAATTAACCTAGGTAAAATTATATCCCCATTGATATTATAGAATAGGCTCCTAATAATATACGGACATGTATTCTTGATTCAATATACCATAAATAGATTAATTATAGCTCTTAATATCAAAACATTATGTTTCCTATTGGGTATGATATGGGACCATATATCCCATGATCACCTAGGAGATATTGGTAGTTAAAATATACTCTACTTATCACTAGTAGTTCATAATTAAGGGTATTAGTAGACAATATATTTAGGGAAACCTTACGGATGCTTAATATACAAAACTATTGTTATCACCTAGTTCTTATTTAGTTATGATGGTTAAATTGTATAATCATAGGACATTACTAAAATATACTCCTATCAATGGAGACCATATAATATTATGGCCAATACTTATATGTGTTACCAACCCTATTAGCTATAACACCCTTCCTCGTGGGATAACTGAAGGGACTATGTTATCAACTTAAATATGGCCCATCTATAAGCATAATAGTGTTATCTAAATATGTATATCCATTATTGATATCATACTATTAGGATATATCATATAAATGGAATAGCATTTATGTGTTATATACTATTTATCATATCTAATAATTTCACTATTACTTGTTTGGTACTATTCTTTTCACTATGATGATGTCATAATGGTGTATACTCCCGATGGTGCCTTGTATATAATTATTATGATGGTCAACTCTTATTGGGATGAATATACGGTAATAATTTCCTATCAATATAAGTCCATAGAGAGTTGTCCAGAATGAGCATTTTAGGGACTGATAGTGTTATAACTAGGTAAGCATCACCTTTAAGCTAAAAGGTATATCTCTTTACTCTAACATATTTTGATTATAAGTTATGCTTAGAAATATATACTAGTATAAAATTATAGGTTAACCATATGGTTATTATCTATAAGATAAACTCATATAAAGGGGCATTTTTCGTTATGGGTATTGGTACTTCACACCTGATTGAGTTGCGAAATTAACAGAATATCATATATTGTTTTCTTCTTGTTATAATTGACCAAGATTGTTATGGATTATATAAATGGATATATCAACAAAAAACTTTATACCATTATGGTGTAATATAGAGTGAACTTCTAATTCATTTTAAAACTATAAGATTAATTTTTATTAAGTTATTTAAAGGTTAAAATGTCATGTTAATATATTCCTTTTGAGAGAGATTAGTTATAACTGAGCAAAGGTGTCCAACTTAGGGGTAACCAAGAGATACAAGCGATCCCACTTATTATGTCAACCATTTCCCAATTTTAGACTATGGTATAAAGCTATAATCATATCCCGTTATTGGATTCTTATAGCTATGGTTAAAGAGTTTTGAGGACTCTATAATAAGTAAATACCCTATGATAGCTAAATGGAGGCGTACCTTGTGTATGGTGAGTATTATGTTGGTACATATATATAGACCTTGTTTACTAATAGGGATTAGTAATCCCCAAATATAACCCTAGACTAATGGATAGTAGGATATATTGATAATGTATAAAATTCTAATTTGATAAATATTGTAACTTATTATACCTCCTAAACCATAGGTAGTACTAAATATATACTTATCATATAGAGTACATAATTAATTATACTCATCTTAGTGGATAGGTTAACAATACTATCATCTTAACCATAATAATTATGGTTATTATCTTAAATTACAATGGGGTAATTTAACTCATAATATACCCGTAACATCAAGGGAATGGTATAATTAAACTCTATGAAATATATACAGATGTTATAGTTGGATATACCTATATAAATTTTCCTATGAACAGATAAAGGTTATTAATTTTGATCGACCCTCGCCTAATTAACGGTTAAGCAAATAAGGTAACAATACCCTATATCGGATATTCAATTAATATCTCTTAAAGAGTAGGGGATATCCCCATTATATACAAATTATATTAGTGCTTACCTAAGGGGTTATGATATTGTATTACTAATATCATTATTAATATATTAGGGCTATTGAGGGGTAGCCATTTGATAAAACCAATATAAAAATATTGGCGAGGGGTGACTAATATAATTTGTAGTCATTAGTAAATTATCTCATCAAAATCTCTCATCTAGTTAGGAGGACCTTGGTTCTTTTCTCTATTTATTTTAGGTGATAAATATTACTTAAATTATCTATAGCCTAAACATAAAGTAAATTTTGGGTATCTCGTCTCACCATTACTATACGATCATCCTTTTCTCCCTCCCTCTCTATCAAGCCCATTATTTGCTTGTGATAATAAGGCCATTAGCTATTTTATTTCGTAAAAAAAAAAAAAAAAAAAAAAAAGCTAATGATATGGAATAATAAGAGCCATTATAGTGATGGGATATAACAATAACTATTAAATCATAATATGGTCAACCTTAGGTTACTACTATTAGTAGGGTCCCTCTCTAATAGCATACACTATTATACTATAATTAATGATTAAATTACTAGGGAATAACATAGGGATAATCCTCTTACTCTAGTATACGGCTATATAAGACCAATTAATGTACATTATGAATAGAGAATAATATATCATTCCCTTGCATATTATTAGCATTTAGAGAATGAACCTTCTTATAATGGTATAAGAAACTTTATTAGGATTTTTTCTATTATCCGATAAGATAATATGATCCATAATACATACAAGTTACTATCATTCGATGAGTTATAAATCTGAATAATTAAATAAGTATCAAACACATAATGATTAAACATATTGCTAATATAGACAGTCCTTATCCGTTGATTACTTTTAACTGGAATTTATTATATGCCATGTTTTATCCCATAATAATACTATCTGGAATATAACCCACTAAATCTAGTTAACATATTAGCATGTTGAGTTAGAACCACAGGATATTAAATCACTCAAGGATATAGTCCGTTGGTATTTTACCTTATTGGACTAGTGCTATATATCCGTCAATATGGGCCATAATATTTGTCACGATATATGTAACCATAGAGTACATTAAAGATATTATCTAATAATTGGACTCCTATATATTAGGGTAATGATGGTAACCATGAATATCAATCGGTACGGACATATCAACTGTAGTCTCTCTTATTTATCATGCCCACCTATAATTATTATGAGATAATATCATTTTCTAATTAGGTAGTGCTCATAAACCTATCGGGGGTTATAATTTAGTCATTTATGTCTTGATAGGGTAAAAAATAACATATATGCCTAATTAGTATTATATTTCTCTTGGTTATATAGTTGACAAGGAAGGGTCTCTAGAATGATAAAGTTAGCCCAATAACTTTATACGGTGGGATAAATAATTATTGTAATAATATATTATAGTAAAATGTTTGATTACCCACGGTTAATCCCCTAAGTTACCCTTATTTCTTAATTTGGGGAACAATATAATAGTTATAATTATCACGAGAGAGAGTGTTACCTTATTAGTGGGCTATTATAGGTATTATTATATTAAACCCAATCTAAGGTTATACACATTAACTATCAATATACTTAAATATTAATACTAACAGGATCCCATCATATTAGAAACTAACCTTAGATTGGGAATTAAGTTATGGGTTAATTGATACTCATTATAACCATATGTTTATAATATTACCAACAATATGGAGGGATCTCTATATGACGTATCATCTATTGCCCATATAGTCACTAGTAATTCATACCTAAGCTATTATCTAGGTAGGCTAATAGACACCGTTAAGTTATATAATACTCTAGAGGTAGTATCTACAATAATTGGCTCCCTTACCGATTACATGGTCAACCCATAAAGTGGCTATAATAGGTCGGCATTAATAAATTATATGTTTGGATACCAAGTGAATCTGTACACTTACCATTGATGACAACATTATAAATTAAGGTATAAAAGGTCCTAGTTATTTTGGAATAATTGTAACTTATTATCCCCGTTGATCCTATACATAGGTGTTCTCTATAGAAGGCCCATATTATTAATGACAGGAAATGTAATCCTTAACTAGGAGAGAGGGGCATGAGGTTTAAATAATATTTTACTCATTAGAGGTAGCTTAGTATCAATCTGTTATGGATATAATTATTATCAGAAGAGGGTAAGACATTAAGGCTTATAGGTTAAAACGTATGGATACTTAAAGATGGGAGTTAATTAGAAACCCACATCATTAAAGTTAACATATCACCAAAGGGATTAATCAATAATTGTTGATTGGATACATCCTACTAGATAATAATGTATCAAATGGATAACCCAAAATGATATATGTTATATAGTTATGTAGTAATGTTATCCACCTTGGATAGATTATCTTTTTCCATTACGAGGAGGCTTATTATTAATAAAATAATATTTTTAATTATATTGCCTACGATAGCCTTACTACAAGACATGGATATATAGGGGAAACATAGGGATAATATGATTACCCTTTTGGAAGCAATAAGGGTAACTACAAGGGATAATTACATTCCCGAGAACCTCTAAGGTATATAAGTAGGGTAATGAGTTTGATACATATCTTATAACTATCTTGGGAATTCCATAAGCTATCCCAAAATATAATTAGCCCATATTTAAATGTGAGTCATCATACATTCATAAAAGTCGATTATTCTCTCATTAATAATTAAGGCCAATACTATTAATAGCTCTATCATATAATGTAAGGTCCTCCTAAACCATAGGCAGTAATTAAATTTGAAATAAGTGGCCATAATATGAGTATTAATATGATTCACTATTAACGATATTGCTCATTATCGATAGAGTAATGACCTACTATCTATAACTATCCCTTAAATTTAATCAAAGTATGTTTCTATTTAACTATGAATACATTAATTGATTAATAACTACTATGGTATTATTAAGAATTTTTTATCCCTATTAATATTAATGATTAGCCATGTTCATCTCCTCTTTTACTATCATTAAACAATTGTCTTCAAGTTATTCATATAATTACCATTATCACAATGGGTCTTCAACCTAAAGTATGATATCATCTAGATAAGCCATAATTCAGCCATTTTATCTTATTAATACCTAATATTGAACATCAATAACCAACTAGGGCCAATTAGTATATTTTCTCTAATACCTCATTAGCCATATCTCAGTTTAACAAATATTATAATGTCTATGAATTAACATCGTTAGTTATCGAGAAAATTGCATCATGATCCTTAATACTTTAATAGTTATTAGGGCCCATGAATATTAGGGTGATAAGGTATAACCAATATATAGCAAATCGAGTACCTTCTACGGTGAGAAATATTCATCCTCATGAAGTATTATAGTCGATTAGGTAACTTATAATATACCTATGGTTCACCCCGATTGAGGATGATACCACCTGGTTATATTATATAATTATAGGGAGATAGCTCATCCTAATATTATATAGTTTTCTCACCTTGCTATTTTTCCCCATAAATCTATGGACATGTTAGTTGGGTAGCTAATCAGACTATACTTATATTATTATCATTTCTAACGTTTGTGTACTAAATGTCCCTAATATTAAGTAGCTTGATATGCTATAGGACAGGGCTATTGATAATAATATAAGTATACCATTGTTAAACTATTACAATGAGGCACTAATATATTAGGCTATATTACAATATATAGTTATTCTAAAAATATCGACATTTTTATGTACTCTATATGACTAGGCTCATAGAGTGAATCTACATTTTGGCAATGCGACTATTCTGATGAATAATTGCACTCCCTCATCATTTTAATCAAACCTTATTAGTGCATCATTATAGTATGAATGGGTCCCATTGTTATATAAATGTACTCTCCATGAGATTATATAATATAGCTTCCTATATTTGTTTACCTTATCGAGCCTCATTGGAATAGTTGTGGAATCACAAGAATTTAGTATAAGTTGCCATAGATTACACCAAAATCTAGGAATGCCAACTTAATATGTAGTTTAAGGATATCTAATTTGCAATGGTTTACATCAATAGGTTCATAGTAAAGAAGGAGATATGTGAATTATCATATTGGATGATATATTGGGATAATATATGTCAATCAACTCTCCACATAAAGAATAGGCATTTTTCTATACCCTCTTAGTAATCTCCATTTAAGCATAAAATCCTAGATATTTATCCCTCACTCCCTCTTTTCCTTCCATCAATTAGGCTCCTAGAGACATGTTATATTACCTAATTAAGATAAAGAATCAATTGGACTATACTATATTACCATGTTATATAGTACACTTTCCATTAATTATGGGGCACTATTATCTAATTTTAGATATACCTCATACATAATCAACAATGAGGCCAAATAAATACACATCAATATTATTCTACATTGTTAGTAACAGTTTATCAAAATATATAATTATTTTGACGTTATGCCTTTCTATTACTCCTAATATTGGCATCCGTATAGACAAATAGTAGTGTATGGTCATAAAATATGTAAGTCTATTAATCAAAATTTATTAGAAAGGGATAAATATTTTCATGGATACACCTTTACCTTTCCTTAACAATTAGGCCCGTTTGACAAAATGTTACTCTTTGATTGTGATTTATCGTTTCTCAATTAGGTAGTATATTTTCACTTCTTTATGTTCAACATAAATTGGTTCATAGCAATGTTATTACACTTTCGAATTATATTCCTTATTTGTAGGGATACTTGATATTATAGGTTATTAGCCAATTCTATAAGTTAGTCCATTGGTAATAATATTCATAAATCAACTAGTATTATAAAAACATTAAATATTAAAAGATCCTATTCAATTACCAATGTTCTTAGCTAAAACCTGGAAATGGGGACATAATATCATTAACAAAATTTGACCCATCCTAAATGATTAAATAATTCCCTACTGACTTAGCTTAGGGGTTGAGAATTCACCCTGGACTTCACTAAATAAGCCATTGATAATAGCCTATTTCTTTAACATTCCTAATAAATAAAACAACTAATAAAATTACACCTAATTAAGGAGAATATCATAAGCTCATAGAGTCGAGTGAATATTATTAAAATATTAGCAATATTTAACTATAATGCGAAGGACTCTCAATTAGCTATATAATCATCAAACTAAATTAACTCATCTCTTAGGAAATTTGTATTATATTAATGATTAAAATGAGAATTTCTTGGGGAGAGAGATTATAACCATGAAAAAGGTTAATATCCTCAAGAGTGGGTCATAACTAATAATTATTACTAAAAACGTTATATGCTTATCAAATCATAGACTTCCATATGCATACATGGATATTAGTTGCTAATAAGTTCCTAGGGGAGATGTTAGAATAAGGATTAATTAAATTGATTACATGTTGATATAGCCTAGTGACTAATATGAAAAAGCTACATGTATCCTAAACTAAGAGATGCATAATCTATAACTATACCATGCTAATTGTATTATCGATCGAACAAAATCAACTCCTATTTGATAGTTAGGGGATTAATGCAGATAGTTGAATTTACACATCAAATTATGAGTGGGGTTAATACATTTCAAGAAAATTTATATCATCCATGCTTTGATATATTAACCCTCCGAGTGCACAATTCATATATTGGTTAAATATACATTGATAGATATATAAAGTAAGGGAATGATATATTCTCACCTGATTTATAATAGTATAAACACATTCATAAAGCAACATAAAAAGAGTAGTTCAAATCCATTACTTAAGATGTTCACTCTAAGAATAGGTATTGATTCCCTTTTAAGATGGAGGGAGAATAATATAGGGATTTAAATGTTATAAAGGATGATTATTTATAATATATGATCAGTAAGCCCCACTTTGTTTCAGCTTAGTTGAACTATTATAAATGGGGAGTGATAACAATACATGGAGCTATGATACCTCCATGTATAGAGGTTGGAGTTAACATCTTGGAGGTAATTCTCTTACTAGGGAAAGTCGATAATATAACCTTTTATAGTTAGGGGAAATAACACTTACCAATATATAAATAATGATACCACTTACCAATGGATAAATAATGATAATTGGTTCTTTATACTAGCAATTATGCATATTAATCTGTTAAGTAATATCTAATGGTCATTTATAAATGTATTATCACTCATGGTAGGTGATCTCTCAAATAAGAGTAAGGGTTATTCCTCGTAGCCAATAGTTTACTAGTTACTATTCACTTATGGTGAGAATAATATTAACATCATTATAGGCATATTAATCCATATGAACATGCATATTAAGTTCAACGTTCAACTATTAGCTTAACGTGATATAGTATAATGAAATATAAACTATTGGTTAAATGTAACACGGATTGATTCACCCTTTATTTTTAAAGGGTATTGATTCAACTAAATATATTTACTCAATTTAGTCTCTATTTTGTATAATCTATTTAATTAACTATCAAACAGGAAACTATTCATTGGATATATTTAATCTTTAATAAGGTAGAATGATTAAACCTTAAGTTATGGAACATAGGTAATTGGCTTACTATTTAAGCTAAGAGGTTATTTATGCTTAGACTACCATATAGGGTATCTTACACATTATAATTTACTAATTATCTCCCTGTTCATTCCTTTATAACATACTTATGTACTCCCTAGTTGTCTATTAAAATACGCTAGGGATAGCCTAAGCATGGTAGGATAATTCGATGAGTAGGTTATAAAGGTTAAGTAATATATGTATAAATTAAAGGAGAATTATTCCTGGGTAAAGGTATCCATTGACCATTCTAGAGATTATATTTCTAATAATATTTCCCTATGAATTCCTCATAACCTTTTATAGTGCCATACCGTTATGTTGTATATACCTTAGTTAGTTGATTACTAAATATACTAAGTTAATGAGTGTCTCCAAAAGTGATCTTAGGTAGTGTGAAATAGTATTGTACAATTATATGAAGGGGTGTATTATGATACTCGGGGATACCGATTACTAATGGATAAATAACAATAATTGGTTATTTATACTAGCAATTATGCCTATTAATCTGTTAAGTAATATCTAATGGTCATTTATAAATGTATGATCACTCACAATAGGTGATTTCTCAAATAAGAGTAAGGGTTACTCTTTCCGGCCGAGTAATGTACCTATTTTGAGTACATAGATGATTTTGAGTACAAAGATGATTTATTACAATCCTCTTTATATTCTTTTGAGTTCATTATCAGTCACTAATAAAGTTTAATCCTAAATATGACTTACTGATATATAATATCTCTAAACGATATTGGACAAATGGTATTGCTATTTATAAGTAGCAATCTAGTATATATATTTGTCCCTTTACGATCAATGGTATTTTAAGTTATAATCAACGATCATTCTAACTATGCTTACTAGAGGGAACCTCTCTATACAAATATAGGACTATTAATTATGATGGAGTGAAATAATCTATGAGGGTATAGGTAATGTCTCCTCACGAATGTAACTATTATTTATGAATAAAATAGTTAAGACGATCATAAAAGGAGAGCAATGATAGAGAGGGTAATCTATATTAACCCTGTAAGATATCATATCGATGGATATTCTTTTATTGATCATAGGTCAAGTTCCGTAAGGCTAATATACTGTACCAATTTGGTGGGAAAAATTAATGTGGCATACCCCATTAGAGCATACCCTTATTGATAGAATCTAGTGTCTCATACACGGATTAGATAGAGAGATAGGATTGACTTATGATCAATAGGTGTTTATCATAATTTTAGGCTCAACTTTGCCAAGAAGATAGCTATTGGTATATGGTAATTGGAATATTCTCAATTGAAACAATTATAGAATCATTAAGGAGTGTCATTCTTAAGACCTATAGTACACAATATATATGGGAGATATGGTAGAAAGATATTATATCAGAGGAGTTATTGGTTAAGATGATATGGACTATAGTGTATCATGATCAATTCATGAATAGTTTATCAAGTATCACTATGTCTTCTCTATAGAAGGCTCTATCATGCTCTAATAAATTCTTGTGGAAGACATTCACCATAATGGCTCAGATAGTTTAATAACTCAATCTCTCCCTCTCATGAAAGGACATGCCCTTAAGATACCTTCATAAGTGAATTTATACTCACTATGATAAAATGGTAATGCCTTTGCATGGAGATTATATTCATAAGACAAATGAATATAAAGGAGTATATCTATAAGGAGGCAATCCTTCTCGGTGATCGGAGTGGTAGTCTTGATAAACTATTCACGAATTGATCATGATACACTATAGTCCATATCATCTTAACCAATAACTCCTCCGA